ATTACAAAATTATCAATTTCCCAACATATATATGTTAGGTATGTTATTATACGTAATATAAGCTTCAATTTAAGGTAAAATTCAACCACAAACGCTTCGCAAAACGTTATAAATTAAGTGTTCTTTATAAAACTAAACTGCCTTTAATTAAATGGCTTTATCGATAAACTTTGAGTTTGCAATAAAATGATTTCAAATTCTCGCATGCAAATAACTTTGCTTTCTTTTTTATTTAAAAAAATCAATGGAATAAAAAAGGGAATCAATATTAATAATACACTGAAATTATATGTTGTCTTGTTTAGTTGTTTCGTATACGCAAAGGGCAAAAGGCCGTCCGGTTTTAAAGCAATTATAAAATCAATATTTAAAACAAACTTACCTTCGTTAACGTCGGCTCCCTTCTTTTAGACGATTTTTTCGCCCTTTCTTTCTGAGAAAGCTTTTGAAATTTACAAAATCTTGCAAAAATGCAAGCAAAAATGAAATATATTTTGCATGAAATTTATCAATCATCAAATCAAGAAATGTTTGCTATTTCGCTGTCGTCATGCAGTCGTTATAATGCAAACTTGAAATTGGACCAATCAGTGTCCGCTATTTATGACAGTCCGCCATATTTTTGAGATCAGTGAGGATGACCACCCACCGAACCACTCATGGTAACCCACGCCCGCACTCATTGATGAACTTTAGACTTGGCTGATGCTTTCGTTTCCCCGGGTGTAAATAGCTGGGGGGAATTAGTACCCCCGCACGGCGCTTCGCGCCGTTGGCTCGGGGACTAATAGGGAGTTTAAGCTTCGCGTTTGCGGGAACGGCAAACGGCAGAGTCGTTTTTGTTGGCAAAATTTTTGCTTAACTTTTTCGCTTCATCTTCTCGTTCTTTATATCTCAAAAGAATCAAGGTAGCAAGTTGATTTTCCATTTATTACCTTGTATAGCGTACATTTTTTCTTCACCTGGCGTTTGCCATTTGACGTTGGAACGCGAAGCTTAAACTTGCTATTATGCCATAGCGTGGCTTTGCGTCTTGATGTATGCAGTCGTCCAGACAGCAATAAAATTGTTTATTTTCTACAAACTATATTACAAACTAAGAAGGTGAAGGGCGTTTTAAAACACAACGCCCTGCTTTAACCAATAAACTAGGGTACCTGCAAGGTAGGGATTGCTGCGGGCATTAAAAGCAAATAGAACTACAGTAAACAGCACAAATTATATCAAGCACAGTGATTACTCGCAGCGACTAGTGAGCTGTGAATGGAACTGAGAAGAAGCAATATATATTGAAGGGGTGTAGATAAAAAGCGGACGGATAAAAGGCGGACCGCGGACGGCGGATAAGTATACCAGCCTTAGATCTGTGAAATGAATATATTTTCATCTGTTTGAATTTTTAGCAATGGAATTTAATTTAATTAGCATTCAATACATATGTATGATAGGAGGCTATTCGTCGTCTTTCGCGTGAAACGTTCGGAAATATTGCAAAAAAGCGCCTTAGTTTGGTGCTTCTATATATAACTGCCCTAACACTGCCATTGAATTAAAATATTATTAGGGGGGGGGGGG